TTTTTTTTTTCTTTGTTGGTGGGGATATTATTGTAGTGGTGTTATCAGTTTGTTGGGGTTCTCTTTGTTCTCTTTGTCTTAAGGGGGGGAAATCACTGGGGTGAGGTCTGTATTCAGGTTTAGGAAGGTATGTTTTTGGTATTTTTTCTGATGCATCAAAGAACGAAATGTTCTCAAATGCCATCTTTTTTTTTATTTCCCTTTGGCGTTTGAATTCAGGACAGTTTCTATTTGTTGATTTGTGTGACTTTTTACAGTGGTAACATACAATAGTATTGCATGGTGCATCATCATTATGTATTTCGGTACAATTTGGACATTTTTTTTTACCTTTACAATTTTTTTGAGTGTGACCGTATAGTAGACATTTAAAGCATTGTGTAACTGGGGTTATATAGGGGTTAATTTTTATTGGGAGACCAAAGATGTTAATTGATCTCGGTAGGTTTGTTCCTTCAAACATTATTAGCAGAGTTTCTGAAGGAACATAATCAATTGTTGTTTTACCTGTTTCGTCTTTGTTTATGATTTTTTTATCGAGTCTTTTCATTTCTAGGATTTTGCTTGGGGATGATATGGCAGTACTAATTTCTGTAATTGGAATGTTTAGATCTATGCGTAGGGCTACTCCCTTGCACGAAACCCTATTGTAGGGAATGTATAAATTGTAATCTCTTTCTTTTAGTGTTTGATTGTCAACAATTTTGTTTGCCGCATCATAATTATTAAAAATAATACTTACTCTGTTTTTACCCTTGGCAGTAATTTTCTTAACATTATCTATTTTGAGGTTATATATATCCCTTGCCAGCGCTAGGTGATTATATTTTCCGATGTTCTGGTTTTTTGCTTCCATGCAGACCTCGAACGGTCCGAAGTTATTGGGTTCGTATTTCAAGGTGAATTTTTTTTGCTGGGTTTTTTTCTCCATATTGGTTTCCATGTTGAAATTTTTGTAAATTTTGGACTTACCGGCAGTATCTTAATACAGCTGCTATTTCTTTTAAGAAAGGTTGAATAGACAGAGGATTTGTTAGTATTACGTAGTTTTCGTTGATTAAATACACCAATTTTAAGTTTTACTTCACTTTTTTCTTTAGTAAATTTGTAGTACGTGTTGCCTTTACAGTGAACAACGCGCGAATCGTAAGATGAAGTTGAGATTGAATTAAACCATTGTTCTTAAAGGTTTAATAATTAAATCCAAAGACGCATACTGGGTTGCATATGTTTTCCCCTAAATTTCAAATATTTTAGTCGCACACTTGGTTGCCTATGTTAGCTACAATAATAGGTGCGTTCTTTTCGCCTGAGATCTCAGCTCACTTATATAACTAGTTATATGCTTCAGTTAATGTGATATGAGTAAGCATTAAAAAGAACGACACACTCAATTGAAACGCGCAATCAGAATAAGAGGTAACATGACCTATTTCTGATATGACATAAAATAAAAAAACTTCACTTTCACATGCATGTTTTGTTTAATTTTATTTAAGTGTTTTTCTAGTTCTGAAAAACAATTTTATTCGAATTTTATTTGTTATATTAAGTTTATAGTCAATTTACAAAATTAAATTATTTTTATGGAAATTTAAGTTTTATTGCAAAAAATCTTTTTTTTTTTTAATAATAATTTTAAAAATCTTCACTTTTACTTTCTTTGTTCAAATATATTGTAAAAAAGTGTTTTTCTCTTCTGAAAAGTAATTTTATTCAAATTCTACTTATTATATCAAGTTTATAGCTAATTTACAACATTTAATTATTTTTATGAAAATTTAACCCAATAAACATTTTTCTGACTTCCGACTAAACTTGCACTATGTTCGGCGTCGCTTTAAGTGAAAATTGCGGTCGGATAATAACTTTGTATCCGAAGTCATTGTTCGACGTATATTTACGTCGGTTAAACGTCAAGTCGTAACTTTCACTTTGGTTAAAAAAAAAATTACGAGAATTGTTCGACGGGAATATAGTCTGGAAGAAATTTAACGCTACTTTTATGTTCACATTGTGAGTTTTCGGTTGTGAACTTCAAACTTTAGAGGACGATTCTTTGAGTGATTCTAAGACGAAAAGTTCATATAAACATGGGTCCGGAACTGCTTCGTTTTCAATTGAAATTTAATAGTGTTATTAAAGGTAGTAAGGGGCTAATTTAGCCCTAACTAGATTAAAATTATTAAGTCCAATGGCGTCCCCGAAAACATCTGAATCAATATTTTTTACAAAAAAATGTGCGCCACTGACTTTTTTGCAATTTTTTCACATTAAGCAACCAAAAATACAAATTTTTATCCCTAGCATATTTTTCCTATATTGCTTCGTTTTTGAGAAAAAAAAAATAAAAATAACTTTATTGCATGTACATCTGTACCCTGTACTTTATGACCCTGTAAGTTGAAAACGGAGCATTTCCGGACCTATGTTTATATGACCTTTTCGTCTTAAAATCAGAATATATTTCTCTGAACACAGATTTGTGATCAGAGAGATCAAAGGAAGAAGAAGAAGATAATTGTATTTGGCAACACTGTATGTCACTGTACCTGTGGTTAGGACCTAACCAAGATACATACACCTTAAGATAGGATGGTGCGCATGTTGGGCGGGGCTTAATGACGTCACTTGATGAGTGTTTTTAAATCTTTGACGTGCTTTTTAAATATCTACTGCTAAAATTCTTGTTTTTGCGATGCTTTTGGATGTTAACTTGCTATACTTTTTGTTTAACTTGTCGTTTTTGTGTTCGGTAAGGTTCGAATTACTTTTCAGCGTTCAAATTATTGTTATTGCGTTATGTTAACCTGTTAGTTTTGTTTATTATTGTTTTTGTGTTGCGTTAACTTGTTTTGTTTGTGTTTTAGATTGTATAGTGCCATTTGCATTTATTAAAATGCGGTGTGGCATATTTGGATGCAATTCGGACAACCAGTCCAAGAAAAACCCTTTAAATAAAAACATTAAATTTAATCGATTCCCGAAAAAGTTTGATTTGTGGAAACAGTGTTTAAATGCCACAAAAATAATAGACAATATTTACGTTAAGACCGCTTCTGTTTAATATAAACATTTTCTGGACAGTGACTATAAGTTTAATTTAAAACACCAACGCTTAAACTACAGCCCTAAATGTTATCAAGGACTGAAAGCATTTATTATCCATATTATAACACTTTCTTTAATATTAAGTTTAATAAAAACGCACTATGTCCAGAAATTTCTCTATTTTCTTTGATAATATTAGTATTATTCGTGTATTCGCACGGCAACTACTCATCAAGTGACGTCATGCGCGGGACGAACCAAAACTCGTACACGGGAGCATCCAGCCCTGGGACCTAACCGTTAGGTATATGGTGGATTACTCGCATAGAAATAATACTAAGTAGTAATAGTATTATTTCTATGATTACTCGTGTTAAGTTGGTTATGTGTTTTAAATTCTGGGTAAGCTACAAATAAATGTAATCATATAAATCAAGGCGGTTGTTAAGTTTTAACATTTATATTAACGCATATAACAAATACACTGTATACACTGTATATTTAGGTATACGTATATGTATTAACGTTAATTTATGTATTTTGTACTCATTAATGATGTAATGTATGAGAAACAAGAATTATTTGATGCCAATTTTTAGTTACGCAGGTGTTGTACTATATTTTTATTGTTATTATTAAGTAGGTACGCAGATTATAATAAAAATAAATTTTTTGTACCCAAAAGTGGAGTTCATAAAAACCATAAAAAAATTAATTTAATTTGTTTTTGCGTTCACATTTCGAAATTAAACGCAAATTTCAACGCAAAATGAATGCCAAGTCGACAAAAAGCACATATTTAGTTTGAATTTGCGTTCGATTTACGAAAAAAAAATATTTCAACGCAAACTTTACCATATTTTACAAGAACAATAAAAAGATTAAATATTTGTGCACAGAGTGTGTATTTGTGTTTAATTTCGAAAAGTAAACGCAAATATATTACTTATATTATATTTGCGTTTAATTTTAAAACTAAACGAAAACTATAGTTTATAAACTTCAATCCATACTATCATAAAATAAAACGCTAGATTGACACAAAACCTGCAAACTTTGAGTTGATTTTGCGTTTGCTTTGTGCTTAACATTTCTATCTTTACTAAAAAATGGTCTGGATTCGATTGAATTCATGAAATATCAAATCCATATGTTATGTTAACAAGTACTTATTATGTTAATAATTATGCAGTACGTATTATGTTAATAATTATGCTTCATGTTTTATAAACGCCATTTTAGTTACGATTTTAATTAGACACGAGCGAAGCTTGCGAGCGAGTGTTTAATTAAACGAGTGTATAGAGAAGTTTATAAACGAGTTCCATAATATACTTTATCTACGACAAACACAAAACAGAATTTAAAGCCAATATTTGTTAAAATCGGTCAACTGTTACCCGAATTTAACCTCACTTTTTTCCAATTTATAATAAAACTTCAGCCCGTGATTAAAGAGCTTAAAAGCTATTGTTTCCAACTTCAGCCCGTGACTAAAACGCCATATAGTCACAGCTCGTCAATGCAGGAGTAGATAATAGTATTTTATGTATCAAGTTTTATAAACGTCATTTTATTAGGCACGAGCAAAGCTTGCAAGCGAGTGTTTAATAAAAACAAGTGTCTAGATAAGTTTATAAAACGTAAAATTTAAAGCCAATTTTATTTGTTAAACATTTGACATCTGTCAAATGTCAACGGAATTAAGCTGAGGTTAATAACCTCACTTTTCTCTAATTTATAATAAAGCTAACGTCAGCCCGTGAATAAAATGCCCAAAAGCCACTATTGCTAACTTCAGCCCGTGACTAAAGCGCCAGAGTCACAGCTCGTCAATGTAGGAGTAGATAGCCATGTGGTGGCGCTACTAGCAATGCCTTTATTAGCGTACTCACAATCCACACATTGTGGATTGTGAGCGTACTTGGGTATATAAATAAAAAATCTCATATGATTAATTATATATTTTCCTCTGTAAACAATAAAAATACAACAATATGGCAAATTTTGGCATTAAATGCTTTGGCATTATGAAAATAAACCCCATGAATAATAAAAATTATAACTTCTAAAAAACAAAAACAAAATATGTACAAATGTGGTATGAAATGGTAATAATACTAAATAACATTATACATAATATATTTGCTACCCTTTTGTGAAAATACTTTGTAAAAATACTCTATGACTAAGGCCAACGTTGTTAATTTATTATAGTATTTATAAATTTAGTTTAATTAAGTGTTTTAGTTCTGATAAATAAAGTAAATTATTAATTATCACTAGAAGTTTGACTAATTACTTCCGAATCGCAATCCTCATTTCTTGGTGAGGATAGCGTATCACTATCATTTTTCCTATCAACTATTTCACCTGTTTTCAAGTTAATTAATTGTTTTTCACCTTCGTTATTATTAAAACGTTCAGATACGTCGGCCGGTAAGGCCGGTAAAAATTGGTTGGACCCTTTTTCCTCAAATAACAAGCATTTCTCTGCATTCTCTCCTTTCTCCGCCGTCAGCTTCATGTCATCACACGACAGATATCCTTCGACTTGATTGACTTTGTTTGGCAGAAAATGTATTTTGGTATGGTCTCTAAGGTAATGCGATTGTGGCACGGAATAATCACAGTGATCGCAAGTGTAAGTACTCGTAATCCCCGACACGCCCACGTGGCGCTTCATGTGGTTCTCCAACGCGTCCTTCCGCAGGTTGCTGTAAGGACAATGGAGGCACCACTGCAACTTCCTATCTTCGGTTGGAGAGGAACTCTGACCGGGACCTTGACTAGATTGTATTTTGTCGTTCACGCACAGCTTCAGAGGCTCCTCCTCGTCGTCTTGGTCGCCATCTTCAACTTCCGTCTTTACTTCTAAAATATCTTCTTCTTCTTCTTCTTCGTTGGCCTTTGCGGCCTCTTTGGCATAGATTTCGGCCATATGCTTCTTTTTGTGTTGCGCATAGTTGGTGTAATACTGTACAGAATAGTCGCAATACTCGCAATTGTATTTCTGATTGGACCCATGTAAACCAGCGTGCGTTTTGAATTGCTCCCTCTTATCGAACGCGCTCGGGCATTTCGGGCACTTGTATCGCTTCTCCTTCGATTTTCCATTCTTCGTTGAAGTCGGGTAGATAAAGTCGGGGTTGCCGTGGAACTGCGGGGTGGGAGAGCGATCTTTGGTCATTTGGGCTATAACTTCGGTTTTTTGCTGAAATAGCTCGGTACCTGATAGAGGCACATTTTGGGATGAGGCTCTGGGTGGTTTGCTAAGTAGTCTACTTAAAGTATCTAAACCTACATCACTCGATTTATTGTTGTTTTCGTAAACCATCCAAACGTCCTCGTTTTTGCTATTCCTAACCGAGTACGTTTGCGGTTGCGGGTAGTTTATGCTCGATGTGTACATCGATTGCAGGTTTTTGGTTCTCTCTTGATAGTCCAAGAAATGGATTTGTTGATGTTGCTGAACGATTTCGTTCTGTTTGGCGGAAAAGGTGCAGTAATCGCAGACGTACGTCGACTTGCAGCTGTGGAAACGTTTGTGAATGGCAAACTCGTTCTCCTTCAAAAATCTCGCCGGGCATTCCTTGCAGAAATACAGGATAGATCCTGACGTGTTGGTGACGGGTTCCTCCATTTCAATATCGAAGTTAAATTCGAGATTATGCGCAACGGATGTCGACTCGTTCTTGCTAAGTTCCTTGATTTGCTCTTCGTCGCTTCTGGTAAAGTCCACGACCTTATGGATGGTTCCATAGGTACCTTGGTGCACCTTGGAATGCGAAGATAGGACACCGGCATTGTTACAGACGTAGTTACATTCAGTACAACGGTGTTCGACGTCGTTGAGTCTGGTGGCATTGGGGTTCTTCTCCCTTATACTGTGCATCTTTTCGTGCTCCTGGATGTTAACTTTGCGGAGATTGACGTGGGGACAGTAACGGCATTTAAACATCTTGGAGAACTTTCCGTTTTTCGACACCCACACCAAAGGGATGTCGGGAAAATTTTGGGTCTCGATGCTCTGATTTTGAGGCACTTCCTCTATTTCATCCGATATATCGGTGATATCCAAACTCTCGCCGTTTTGCTTCTGAGGGCTCACGTTTATGCCGTGAATTTTGAGATGTTGATGGAGGAGGTGTCGCTTGCTGACGTTGTACGTGCAGTAGGTGCACGTGTACTGTCCGCCACGTGCCTTGTGGAACTGTTTGTGGTAAGTGTATTGCGATTTGGAGTTGGTGACGTAGGGACACAACAAGCATTTGAATCGCTTCAAGTCCCCGTCGAGGGAGGTCCTGTCCGTGAGTTTGCTCAAAAACTCGTCCGGATCGGAGATGCCGTGGTACCTGAGGTGACCGGACAAGTCCTCCTTCTCGTAGACGTAATATTTGCAGTACTGGCACTTGAAAGCGTTCAGTTTGGGCGCGTGTCCGATCAAGTGTTGCTCGAATTCGCTCTCGTGGTTGGAGGAAAACGGACAGGAGCTGCACTTGAAGGTGCCGAATTGCGGCACGTCCACGTGATCAGGTTCGTCCGTCTGCTCCTCCATCTCGAGCTTTTCCTGTCCGTCCTTGTTACTAACGACGCGAATATCGCCGCTGTGTTTTAGACGACAGTGGCGCTGTAAAAAAACAAAATTGATCGATTAAGCGCGAAGATATTTGGCTTCAGTCAATAATTTTGGCATATACTAATCGAGACGTGTGACTCATCAAGTTTATATTTATCATTAGTAAATAAATTGCTATGCTCTTATTGTCATGCTAAATAGAAGAAACCTGTTGTTAAGGTTACCTCATCCTAAATATAAACTTATTGTTAAAAGTGCATTTATTTTTAATGTATTACAGACTCTTGTTGCGCTAAAAGGTTTTTTGTGCCTATTTATTTATTAAACAGAGTCATTATTGTTATGCGTCTCTTGTACTATGGTTATCAGTAGTTTTAACATAATTACTTAATTATTATTTAAATATATACCAAAGTCTTTGCAAAAGGTTATTATAGATGTTAAAAGTAATTAATTTATTGAGCAAACTTCAAGGTGCAACTATATTTTATGCCAGAAAAAACTCCTATAAAAATAATCATTTTGAAGTGAAAAACAGCGCCACGAGCTATTGTAATCGAAAACAAGTACACAATGAAATCTTGAGGAAATGTTAATTTTACAAAAATATTAGTAACTAAGGGACTATATCACAAAAAAACAAACAACTCTGGTTCAGTTTAGCGTAAAATTAGATTTATTGTCTGCAAATATTTGTTGCTTTTTGTGAAATAGTCTTTATTATTTAATTTGTTAGTAACTAGGTTTATTTACTGATAACAAAGTCGTGAAATAAGAAAATATTGCAATGGCAAATTGCTATCGGCAGTAAAACATTATTTAATATTAAGCATAGAAAAAAATATAATAAGTATTATTTTAACTTAAATGATAAAAAGCAGTGCAGTACGTAGTAACAGGGGAAATTGGGTCAAATACAAATTTGAAATTTTTTATAAATTTTGAAAATTAAGATTTTGAATATTTTAAAAATTTGGATATATTGTACCCACAATTTCACACTTTTACCGTAGCATATATTTTAAAGTGCTACAAGGTTAAATTAGAGAAAAGTTACGTAATAACAAGCCTATGAAAATTAAATTTATAACTTGGAAAAAATAGCCAGCAGTTCTTAAAATATTTGAAAAAAAAACTAAAATCTTTTTAAAACCATAATCGTTGTAACTTCATTATTTCTGGGAAATTTAAAAAAGAAGTGTTATAACACTGTATACATGTAATACATTAATACATATTTTAACCAAATTTCTTCGCTACTAAATTTTGAGTTACCTTTTGTTTTTAATGTTTTCTATCCAACCATCTAAAATTCCAATATCGATGACTTTTTGCCAAAGTATCGCAAGCAACATAACTCAAATTTCGGGCATTGAAAACATTTTTTATTTTAAAGTCTGTTTTAAATCATATATAACCTATAGGTTTTATAACAAGTAAATAGCTATAATTATAAGTTATTTACTTGTTATAAAACCTTTAGCCTATATTTAATTTTAAATAGACTTTAAGACAAAAAATGTTTTCAATTCTCGAAATTTGGGTTATGTTGCTTGCGATACTTTGGCAGAAAGTCATCGATATGACACAAATTGCATCAACATGTACATAAATGTGTAAGTTAGCAAGTAAAACTATTTTTGTTTAATTCCCAGGAATAACAAAGTTATAAACGATTTTTGTTTAGACGTGTTTTAATTTTTTTTAAATTATTTGAGAACCGCTATTTTTGTCCAATAGACTTGTAATTACTTAACTTTTCTCTGACACTGACCATTTTTCGAGATTGTGCAAATGGTATCTTTTTCTTAATTTGAAATTCAAATTTTGAACCCCCCGAAATATTTTCTTACTACGCAGTACAAAATATATTATAATAAACAATTATATCAGATCAAATAGATTCGATATTAGTACAAGTGTTAAATTTGAAGTATTAAAAAGGTTCTAAGAATTATTATTTACACTGATAAGATAGCGTTTGAAAAAAAAATTAAAACAAAGAATAAAAGAACAGATAAAATTTGTTTAAGTTGGACTGGATACGCTTTTAAGACATCTTAAAATAAAGATGAGAGCATTTTTGGCCCAGCTTAAACAAAGTTGTTTATGTTAGTGGTTTACTTTAAGCTTTAAGTAGATCTTCAAAATTCTCTATATAATGTCGTCATATTAAAATAAATATTATTCGTGTGTGTGTGGCTAAATGGATTTGTATCTTTTATTTAAAGACATTTTTTAAACAAAGATTGTGACACGTTCGATTCAAAGAAACGGACAATGTAGGTCAGGTTGGTGCAGAAAAAATAGCCGAGGTTGAATAGAAAAAATTTGCACACTTGCAATTCCTTTTTTAAACAACAGGTTGTTTTGCTTTGACAATGCAAAAGACTTAATAAGAACCAATTATAAAGTAAATATTATCAATTAACATTACTTAGCATTTTTAAGGGACTAGTAATCAGTTCATTTAAATATAAATTAAGTACCAACTTGAGGCCAAAAAAAGTAGGTATAGAGAATAATAATCTTAATTATTTTTTTATATTCTATTTTTAAAATAAATTTGATAGATTTATATTTATTATTGGGTAAATCAATGATTTCTTGTCAAAGTAATTTAATTGACAAACTGACGTAGTTAGGTACCTATATATATATATATTCACAACAGCCAACTTAAAAAAAAAATTGCTATTTGATAAACAGCCCAGAGAATGGGTTTAGCAGTACCTAGTAGTAAGTTGGAATATAATAAAAATTAACTTTTTGCTCAGAAATATCCAAAGTCTTCACAGTAAAGATACAGGGTGTTCCATAACCCAGGTAGCACACTGACGTCTGCTGACGTTTAAATGACGTTGCTAACGTCATTTAAACGTTTGTTGTGCAGTGTACATATTAATATAATATGGGAAAATCACGGATTGAAAATTGGCTTCGACCTTCAGAATATATAGCAAACACACAGCTAGAAGCCGATAAGAATTAAACAGCGTTTATAACGTAATACGTATGGTCGCCATTTCACGGAATTGTGCAAATGTAATGTAATAAAATTGAATTGCTCGGGAAAACTTTTAATCACTTGTTGAATGTTTAGCCAGATTTCAGCGGGCCGCGATAAAGCGGAAACAAAAGAACGTTTAAAAGTCATGCATGCATACGCGATATTCATGCCATTGCTATTTTTAATGGGAAATGATTCTATTGCATTTTATTACTTTTTTTATTTTTTTTTAATTTTATTGGTTTATTTACTACTTTCTTTGACTTTAACATTGTTTTAATTTGTGTATAAAAAATAGGAGGTGTTTGTTTACAAGTATTTGTTAATTAAAAACATGTCTAATTAAATATCTTATTTACCCATATTCTTTTGTTTGAATACTTAAAATTGGACTGAAGTTCCATTAGCCACACAAATTGTTTTTAAAAATTTTAAAGATCATTAATTGTAGGAAACAAACATTTAGGTATGTTTAAAATTATTACAATAATTAAATATACCAGGCAAAAACTGAAAAAAATGTATTATGTTTGTAATTAAAACGTTAAAATTTACCTATTTCTACAAACAATAAACAATTATTTAAAACTATTCCTATATACAGGGTGTTCCAAAAATAGTGTGCAATACTCTACATGTGGTTTCTAAAGACAAAAATAGGAAGAAATCTTATAATCTTATTTATAATATAGCTCGGCGAATAGCCCCTGAGGAAGTGCAGCCTCTTAAAGGAGCGCCCCTAAAGATAGTTCTTTATTATTTCCGAAACGATTTGAGGTAAAATAATAAAATTTAATTTTTTTTTACGTCAAAAAGGTACTCTTCTTGTACATCTAAAAAATTCAGCATTTCGAATAAAAATAAAATAACAATTTAATAAAAAAATACATATGTTTCCCGAAAATATATTATTTTATCTCAAAGACCTATGTTCATATAAAGTTTTCTTCCTATTTTTGGCCCGAAAAACTGCTTGTAGAGTATTGCACACTATTTTCGGGACACCCTGTATACTGGACAAAATTATTGTACATTTTTTGCTCTTTAAAAAAAATTGTAACAAAAAAGCTACATGAATTTTTTCAAAACGGTTTCCATGTACCATGTACTATATTTTGAAACATATTTTTATAATTTATTTACAATCATAAAAGTGTCTATTTTAAGTTCAAAATATTTTGGCTGACCGTTTTAATGTCATTTTTGTATTTGGCACGTCAAAAATTTTCAAGTTTCTGCCTAGTTTTTTAAATAAAATTTAAGATGTTTTAGTCAGAATGAAGCTTCCCATAATATTTATTTAAAAATTGAGTTAGGTACAATACTAGAAATCTGTTAAAAATCTGAGATAAGATCGATATAATTTGGACAGAACATTATTCTAAAACTGTAACTGAAAATAAGTATTGCCGTGGACCCAAGAAGACTAAAAACAGGATGACGTACTTTAAAAGTAACCTAGGAATGCGCAAAATGATTTATTTAGTCTTCTTGCGTTATTTCATTGTTGTGTTAGATACATGAGGTTAAGTAAGAAAAAGCCCACATTTTTTAACATTAAAAATGTATTATATTGTGCTTGAATGATAAAAAATGTAGACTGACACCAGAATTAATCTTGTTAGCAAATGAAATAAGAGTAGGTAATAACGAAAGCTGATAATTGTTAAGGTGGGTACACACCGATTAATTATCAGCGAACGTTTAAGTTTGGTTAGTAATGGGTTAGTATACCTGAATGACATGCTTCCAGTTAGAGGTTTGATTACAATGGCCACAGCGGAAGGGCGCTTGGCCCCCCTTAGCCGTGGAGCTATTTACACTTGCCTCATCTCTATCAGGACTCGTACCCCTTAAAGTGGTGTCCGATGCGTTGCCTACCCCGCCCGAAACGGCCGACACCTGTTGCTGATGATGCCCAGCCTGCTGGTAGTGACTTTTCACGTGCTCCAAAAGGACGTCTTTCGAGGCATCCCTGGAAACGAAAAAGTTAAGAGTGCTGTTACCCTAAATATTTTCAGTTTACAAACATTTGGAATTTTTGATAAAAAGCCAGAAAGTAGATTTATTGTCACTTTCATAGCATTAAGATAATTGATACATCGTATTTATAAGTAGTGTAAATTTATGCAATCCTAATGAATTCCAATCACATATTCGCAATAAAACTTAATTAATAAATAAAATCACCAATTGTTTTTTATTAATGATAATTCTGGTTAAAAAGATTTCCACTAATTTGTTGAACGTGTTTTCTTCAAAAAATTAATGCACAAAACGTGTGTTACTTGGAACATTTCTATTTCTAAATGCTTGTCAGTTCCAACAAAATAATTTTGAGGTCATCCCCGGTTTTTATTTGCCTCTTTTTACGTTTTTGAGGCTTGAAATTTGTTGGCTCTTCTTTCTTTCTGCGGCCACTCTGCGCCAAGTTTGCCGTTTATTTTTACGCGGTGATTTAACCGAAAAAATGTTCTCTTCGCCGCTTTGACGCAAAAACATTTTTGGAACGTCTTCGAGTGTGTTGCGTGAGCGCAAAACAAAAATAAAAAAATAATTTTAGAATTTCGTGTTGCAAGAATCTTTTTGTTTCGGTTTTTATCAATAGAGGAAATAACAATTAAAAATTAATTACGGGAATTTTAATTAAAGGCGATAAGATAAGAATGTTCTTTCTTTATTTTATTTAATTTTATGTATCACCTAAGCTACATTTTGTTGCGAAATATTTATTAATTGAGTTTTATCAATTTCAAGGTTCAATAATTAGGTATAATTTAAAATAGGTACTAATAGATCCAAAAAATTAACACCTTTGTAAATAAGTAAACAATAATAAATTATTGTTAAGCAATAACAAAGGAAATAGGTCAATGAAGACAGATAAAATCAATAAAAAATAAAAATATATACCCTTTAAATTAATGTACTTTTATCGAAATTATATTTATAAAAATGTAAATATAAACTTTTCAAAAATTGGCGTCAAGAAACTATTAAATAATTTTGTACCAACTTTTGTATTAGTAGAGTAAAAGTAAAAGTTTTTATTAACATAGGTCGAGAAATGCTTCCTAAGGGAGCTACAGCCCCTGAAAGAGAAGCCCCTGAAGATGGTTTTTATTTAATATATCCAAAACCGTTCAAAATAGAAAAATAAAATTTTGAGAATTGATCAAACATTGCATAAAATGTCACCTGTCAAATAATTTTTCCTAAAAATGGCAGCCGTGTTTCATGGTCCAAGCTGAATCTTTTTCTCTAGTTGTGATTTCATAATGAATTTATATGCCATGTAAGGTAATTTTCAAATCGATTGTAAGCGAAAATATTATCGAAGTTTAACAAGAGGACATTTTTTCTGTGTAAAACTCCAAAATAAAATAATCTGACATCAAATCCTGGGACAAGACACGTACATAAAAGTTAGGTTGGTTTGACCAACCCCTCATGACAATTTTGAAATTGTTATTATTACATGTTATTGGCCATAATAAGTTTGATCAATTCCCAAAATGTTACGTTTCTATCATGAACGGTTTTGGAGATATTAAATAAAAACCTTCTTCATCTTTTCTTTCGGGGGTTGCTCCCTTAGGAATCATTTCTCGACCTATGTTTAAGGGATTTTTTTTCTTATTTTTGTTGTACGTATAATCTGCTGTTACAGTATTGCACGTTAATTATGTATTAAGTGTTGTGCATTTAAAGACAAGTTTTTATACCACAATTTCTTGTAATAGCAGGATAGCATTTATATTAATTAGTAATTATGAAGGTAATTCTGCTATAAAATTAATTTATGACACGTGAAATAATTCCAGTGTTAAGGTTCAAGGTTTTCCGCGTTATTGAAAAAAATCGACCGCACTTATGCAACAGGCATTGGACTTGAATCGTGTGAAATAATCGAGGTCCAAATTACATTACTTTTTGCAATGTTTCCTCCAAAATCGTGCTTTATATAAATATAACTTGAGTAACTATAATTATGTTTATTGCGCAAATTAAAAATTAAACAACGTTATTAAATTATTGATAATGATTTTGTTTCAACTCACCGGAAGTCGCATCTCTTGCATTTAAACTGCGTCCGTTTGCTCTCGGAACTTCTTCGCTTCTTGTCGGATATCTTGGCCAGGTAGGAACCGTTGGCGGCTTTGAGGGGCGGCATGGGCCTCGGCGGTTGCTTGGCGGGCGAAAAGTAGTCGGTGTGTCCCGACTTCGATCTGCTGGTCGACGGCGAGGAGTTCCTTTCTTGATGGGACTTGGGCCTCGTGCCCGATCCTCCGCTGGTGTCCAAACTCTGCTCGCCGCTCACGGGGATTTCCGTTAGGTACTTGTTGTACTTGGTGTAGTTCCTTCTGCCCGTCTCGTCGGTCATCAACACTTTGGCCGACTCGTGGGCCCGGTCCCTCACCGACTTCAGTTTGATGTGTTTGGTTATGTCCCAACGCCAGTTGGAGCGATACGCACACAGGGAACACTCGAAGGGTTTTTTGTTGAGATGTCCGACGATGTGGACGTGGAATCTGGAGGCCGTCGAAGCCCAGAAAGTGCAATGCGGGCACTTGAACACCCTCTTATGCTGCGCGATCGTAATATCGTTTCCGTGGGTCGGTATTTTGTCAGTTGTGACAGGCGAATGCTGTACACCATTGTTATTATGGTTATTATTGTTGTTGTTATTCGTCTGGATGTAATCTTGGCCGGGGAAGCTGACCTCGCTACCACCCCCTGGAGATTGAGTGCGAATCGACAAGTCTATGGAGATATTGTCGTCGCATTTGTCGTCGGTGTATTCGTAGTTGGAATCGTCCACCTCGATGTCCATCGGAACCTGTATGTCGTTCCAAATGAACACCTTGTTTTCCATGGGGTGCGGTTTTCCTTCCGATTCCTCCAGACGGTCTTCGTCGATTCTAAGCTCGCCCTGTTCGGAGGAATCGTCGACCGTGTCCTCGTCAGGCGTGTGTCGCGAAAGAGTTTTCTGGTAAACGATGCAGCTGGAAAGGTGGTTGTAGAGGTCGGTGCTCGATTTGCACCTCTGTCTGCAAAACTGGCATCTCGAAGAACTAATGTTATGTACTGGCACTATATTTGGTATTTTCTTGCTTTCCTTGCCGCACGTTTTCTGATGCTTCACCTGTTGGCTAAGGCATGTGCTTTCGTGGCCGCACAGGCTGCAAATCAGGTTGCTAGCTCCTCGGCCGACCAGCAGCTTCTGCTGCAACCGATCGAAGAACGACGTTTTCTTATTGTTACTTTTCGGTGTGGATGAATACAGAGTAGTAGGAATTAAATCAGGTACTTGTGAGGTAACAGCTTTGGTGTCTTTGAACATTTCCTCCGAATTAAACAAGGACGCAAAGTCTTTGAGAGCACTGTTGCCCGACTTGGCGCAAATGTCGTTAATATCTTTCTGGCTCATTTCGGGTTCCTTAAGTTCGGGAATCTCGGCAATCTGCAACGGCGGCTGTTGTGCCATCCGATGGTGACCTAATTTGAAGCCAGATGTCGGCGTCGGAATCGGAATCAATTCGGGAATAGGCCTGGGAACCTTCTTCGCCGGCTTGTTCGGCTCTTCTCGCCCGATATTGTGAACTTTTTTCTCGTGCCTGATCATTTCTGCTTCCCAAGCAGTTTTAAAATTGCACAACACGCATTTATTCTTGATGTAAACTTTTCCATTGGAATGAGAAACTATGTCGTCGGGATGCACAAAATCCGAACCGAAGTTTTTCGTTTCCAAAAGACTGCTGCTTGTTTTCGCCCTTTTGGCCGCGTGCGATTTAGAACTCTTTTTCGCGTTGGTTTCCGATTCCGCGGGGGAGGGTGACGTCGTCGCACTTTCGGCCGGCTCCTTCTTGCTAACCTGCAACACACAACGAAGCACTGGTGACTTACTTACTGATGACGTAAGCGCGCAAATTAAACGAACAATTAACACGAGGACGAGTCAGCAGAGAGCTTTGCTTGCTTGCTGTACTCTTTTTCGTACAAGTGTGTGTATGTGTGGCAAGCCGCCGTCTAAACTACTTGGTACGCCCAAAGCCAAGATCGCAGTGGCCTTATCAATCACCGCTCGGTTGCATACAACGAACCACCGTGCGATAACAGTGATATCGGCAGGTAACGGCTCGGTACGGCGCACCTACTCAGGATATACCCAAACACTTGGTCGACTGTTAAATCGCGTATTCTACGTGGCCTTCACCAAATTAGAACAATATACGAAACACCTAATTCAAACAAAATATCGCGATAACGCAACTCAAGTAATAAAACCAGCGAACAACGCGATGAACAATGCAATGTGACTCAGCCCCGATCTGACACAGTCCTTATAATATTGTCTATTTCGCACTTGATAATTGTTTATGCATTCATTATATTTTAATTAGTGAAAAATGATGCGGGATACCAATTCGTAATTCGCTTTACCAATTCCGATTGAATAACTGCACGAAAGAATCTCGATCCAAATTTTCACACCGATCTAATTTTAGATATTTATTTTCAGATAAACTCTTCCAAAATTAAATATACACAAGGAAGTAAACATTATGTAACGCCGCAAGCTTTTTATTGCGATAAATTGTTAACTAAAGCCGAATAACACACGTACACACACGCGTTATGCTTACTGTTGAAAATATTTTGAAAATTATTAGAATTTATGTCGACTAATCGATTGAAATCATATGCAAATGTATGCAAATCGAAGCGTACACAGAAGAAACAAAATAGGTAATTGTTGGTGATTTATTCGGTTCGTGTAAGTAATGGCTCAAAATGCGACGAACGAATCAAAGAAAGAGTACCAAAGTAGTAAACTTTTAATGCCACCGCGTGAGTTGGATGGTTGCCTAATTAGCAGATATCCTCGCCCACAAGCTCTCTGCTGCTTTCGGCAGTAAAAACTACAAAGCTAAGCTTACATAATTGTTTGGTTTAGGGCCGGTTTATCAATATTGCAGTTAGTTATGTGGCAGATCATTTCCAGGGATACCATTGTCCTCACAACGATCGATATGGAATTTAACTGTCAGATAGACTAACTGGAACTTAACCAGATGATAAGAAATCTTACCTGAAGCATGTTTTGTTGGGCGGCCTCTTCGGCGGCCGTGGCGTCGCTGGCGCCCACCTTGTTTCGCCGGCGTCCGACGCCCAGACCGACGGCCTGGCCCACTGGAGGCACATGGTGGTTCATTTCGTGGACCGTGAGGCTCTGCTTGATGTCGGCCGTAAAGTTGCAGGCCGAGCATCGGAACGCGCCGCGTCCGTTGTGGTTCTTGCAGTGCCTGTCCAGGTTCCACTTGTACGGGGTGCGGAAGTCGCACATGTCGCACTTAATCATGGGCATCGAGTGGTACTTGACGTGTTTGGTGAAGCGGGCCTTGATGTGGGTCACGTAGTTGCACTTGGTGCACCGGAAGAACTTCGTTTTGATGTGCTCTTCGCGCTCGTGCCGCGACAATTGCGACTGGATTTTGCTCGTGAACGGACACAAAGAACACTTGAAAACCGCGGGTCGCTGGTAATCGTCCTGATCGTCCTGCGAGTCCATCGCATCTTCGTCTTCGGCGGTCACTGGTGCGGCGGCTGTCGACGAGCGCTTTCTGCTCTTACGCGTCGTGTCGCCGGCCTCCAGGCCTTGCGTGCCGCCGTGCACCATTTTCGTGTGTCGCAGCAACTTCTGGTAGTGCTTCGAGGCGTACAAGCAATTGGGGCACTCGTATATTTTCACTTTTTCATCGTGCACGTCGCGCAAGTGGTAGAGAAAGGAGCGCGGGTTCTGCGTGAAGAACGTGCAATGCGTGCAGGAATAGTTCCTTTTAACTTTGCAGTCGGGCAAGTCTTTGCTGGCTTCGTCAACACTGTCCGACTCCCCGATGGAGCAGTTAAGTTCGTCTTCGGCTACGCCGTCGGCCGAGCCGAATAGAGCGTCGCCGCTGACGACGCTGCGCACTATTAAAGAGTCTCCTGATCGATGTACCATCGAAGGCACGGACATACTAGCCCGCACACCTGCAACAAACAATTCTCTTATTAGGACCGCAGAACAATCTTAAGACATTCTCCACTTGCGGATAGATGCACTTGTGTCATCTATCCGCAACTATGGCACACACGTGGTGTCCCACACACAAATTTCAATTTCTACTTGGCTCTCAAGGACATCAAACATCTGCATCGCTTTACGAATGATACACTCTCAAAAAATCCGCCACATCTTTCTACAACGACATTTTTCTTAACTTCTACGCCGTTTTAACATTTATATAATAATTTTTTAATTTAAAATTTATTGGTTTCAAATTTTAGGTTTACATTTATAAATTTAAAATATTTCACTTCACTTATCGGCCCTGGGCTAAAAGCTCTTCGGAGGCCTATCAATAATTTTATATGTATTAAAATAAATTAAAAAAAAACAATTATTCTTAATATCATAAATAATATAAATAAAACATTCTAGCATTTATACAAGGTGTCCCGATAAGAACTACCTACTTGGTTGTCTTGGTTTAAAATAATTTGAATTAACCCAACCTATAGGTTTAGTATACCTATAAAAATTGCTTTGTTTAGCTGCTAGCGGCCTTTAAAATATTTAAAAAAGATTGTTTTATCCTGCAGTATATTAGGTACACTGATTTACCTATTAAAATATCACCCATTTTCATTTAAATTAAGTAGGTACCTACATAAGATTTTTTTATTTTGGAATTATATAACTCGTTAACGGATTAATGGACTAAAATGATTAGAACTTTTATTTTAGAAAATTAAACACTTATATTATGATTAGTCTACTCATAAGACTTGCTGCAATCATTATACATTTTTTTAGATCATTTTATTTTCTATAAAAATATATATATATTTTTAATGTTTTATTTGTGACTTCCTGGTTTAACCAGTATAAATACAAATATTTTTTGCAATACAATTAATATTTTTATGAAATAAATTTGTACTTTAATCAGAAATATCAATTTGAGAAATCAGTAACTGTAGAACTATCAGTTTTAAAGATTATAAAATCACACAGCTTTTTGAAAAGTAAAATGATCTACCAAAGTCCTCTACGTTTTATTATAAGTCTGAAAGTTTTAGCGAAAAAGTAAGAAGAAAAATGTACTATAAATGTAATTTTAGGCTTGAATAACTTTTGAACAAGTAGATTTATCATAAAATAATAAGAGACCTCTTTGTAGAGCGTTTACTGTAAAAAATCTATAAAAATTATATTTTTAAAATATGTTATTTTTTATATCCTATTTAAATAAAAATTAGAAAATCGCGAGGAGGGGCCTCATAATAATAGTAATATTAAGAGCTGACATTTTATTAGGCTCAATACATAAACTTTATGCAACAATGCCTCGATCGGACGGGGCCCTGGGCTGCAGCCCATAATGCCCATGCCTAAATCCGCCCACGAGTATTATTTTCAATAAATTTTTGCAAAACTATCATTTTTTATGGGGACATCTATTAATTACGTGAGGCATTTTTCTGATAATTTGGACCAACTCTTTCCCTTGGTAAGATTTGAAATTTGAATTATAATACATATTTTTTAAACTCAAAAGTTGACGTGAGATTTTTAATGAAATAGTTTAAAAAGTTAATTTTTTTTAAATCTTAAAACAACTTATAATCAAAGAATATTTTAAACATAGAATATTTAAAATATAAAAATTAAAAAAAATTTACTTTGTAAATTTCTGCGTGCCATAAACTTCTCTTTATGTCATCATACAACAGCCTTAATTAGTTCTTTGTATAAAAAACAGACCACGTACTTATAGCAATTAATAGTTTAATAATACATTGAACGGACTTAAAACGATGCCTGGCATTGTTCCAAAAATGTTCTGCGAAATCGGGGCTTGCAATAAACATCACGCTGGCTGGTCTTGGGTATTGTATCTAATAGCCGAAGCCAATAATGGGTCAGTTATTAATCGAGTTAGCTCTACGATTTGTTGTAATCTTTTGCAAAGCGGAATGGTAATTACAAAAATAGATTGTTTTTTAACATTGCAAGAGTTACTGAATTATATTTAGAAAAATGAAGGAAAACTAAAGTCAGCTATTTATAAGCGGTTGTCTAAATAATAAAAGTGAAGGAGGGCACGGGATTTTACATAACACCGAATCCAATGGTTTAATGGTGCTTGAAATTCGGCTTATTTATGCAAGTGCACATTTATTCAATGTATGCATATAAACCAACTATATTTTTTCTTATGTCATTGAAAACTAATATGCGAATTTCCATGCCGAAGCTTGTAAAACCGGCCGTAATTATTGTATCATCCTTGTGGTATTATTCTTGGAATAACCTTTTAGTTAAATTATAGCACGTACTCGTTTATAATAAAATGTAAAACAAGGACGCAATGTCTTAAACACATCTTTTTAAATTCTAATTCTCTAAGTAGGTAGTACCTAGTTATTTTCAAAATGTTCAAATAGTTATGTACACTAAGGAAAGTAGGTCGGGCCGATAACGATCCAGGTCATTGTTTTGAGGAAAAAGGTTTCTTAATTATTAATATTTACGAATTGATTCATCAATAGTGTAGGAATTGTAAATTTTAGGAGAAGTATTTACTAATTGAAAAATATGGGTCTGACGTTGAACTTGGCAAACAAGCGCACCTATTTCCAACGAGCCGTTGTAAATCAAAGGAAATTGAATAGACATTCCTTATCGGGGATTAGGTAGGATAGATAATGGCAATCGTTTGTCATTTTCGAATATGTTAGAGTTCATTCGGGGAAAAATCGAGTTGACATGGTAACTCATTCATTCTTTCTGCGGGTAACTAAGGGGCCATTCCATGACAAACGATACTGAGGGTAAAAAATAAATATGTTTTTTTCGCATTAAATCTGATGAATTTTGAAAAAAAAACATTTCAAATTATAATGTGCGACAAAAAAACTAGAAGAAACGGGTAATTTTTGGGTTAATTATCTTCAAAATCTGTACTCAAGTGAACTGCCTTTAACTATTGGAAATACGAAAAAAAAACTGTCAATCTGTCAAATGTTTTGTCACGTTGTGATTTAAGGTTATTTATCGTAGTATTGGTGGATTGCGTCACAGTCCCGAAAATTGATAATTATCACGTTATAAGTGTGTTTTCTTGTTACTTTGACACTGTAACACCCGAAACAAAAAATAAGGTAATTATTTTATTATTATATCTTACAGATTAATTAGTGTAATAATATTTAGTAAAAGTAAGGTTATGATGGTAAGGATTTAACGCTGTGACTAGAGGTACGCTAACGTGCCGCGATTCGAAATGTTAAAGGCACCTTAGTTACGTCATAATTTTAAGATTTTATGTTACGATAAAAAGCAGTCTAGACTGCTTTTTGGATGGTGTGTCGAACCTACCGAAATTTCGGTATTTCTACCGAAATGGCAACGGACCTACCAAAATACCAAATAGTACGATTTTCGTCAAAAATTATGTTTCTACCGATTTTTTTATCGATTTTTGACAATAATAACGATTTTACCGGTTTTGCCGATTTATCAATCGTACCCGAAGCTGCTTAAGTTATGTTAAAGGAGAATTCATTCTATTAATGTTTATTTGTTACTTATTTTGTACTACTTAGAAACTAATAAAACACCGATTTTGTCAATATAAAGTGTTTAATTTTGTACTTGTTACACCGAAACAGAACCATGGTAACACCCGAAACAAAGTAAAATTTTATACAAAAAATAGTAAAACGTTATTTGTGACCACAGATGTGTTTGTGACAGTGATTATGTGGTAGATGCCATCTACTAGATGGTTAGTAACTATTATACTTTTGAAGGCCTATAATTTTTAGGAATGTTTCCCTAAGAAAATTCGCTGTATTTCAAATAAATGTAACTAATTAGTGGTGTAAAAAAAGTACCTACTCGTTACTTTGTAACGGGTATTTGCCCAATACTTAAAGTACCGATTCCTTGTTGTTGTAAATACTCGTTACTCGTTACTTTTATACCTATGTCCTATAATGCCTAAATTAATTACTATATTGTTTGTGCTACTTCTGTTCCGTGCGAACGCATATATTCCAAAGCCGGTCAAATAGTAACCGAACGCAGAAACCGATTAAAATCATCTAATGTGGAAAAACTACTATTTTTGCATTGTAATAATGATTTATAAAAATATGCAGTATAAATTAAGTTATTTTTTAATTTTCAGTTTAGTTTTTTGTTTTGTCTGATGATATTTTATTTTATATACTGTTTTAATATGAAAATGAAAATAAAGAAGTTTTGTTTATGTTTAATAAAATCCCTGTTCTCTGTTATATTTTTTTAATTTAAAAGTTTAAATTTAAAAATTTTAATTTAAAAGTACCAAAAACTATTATCATTACCATGCATTACCTCCTAAAAATACCAAATCGCCTATAATTCATAGGCATATGCGAATAAAAAATAATAAAAGAGTAGATCTACTCGAGTAACCATGTAGGTACTTACTCAGTATTGTACTGATACTGAAGACTAAAAGTACCGAAAGTAACGAATATAAAGTAACGGGTATTGATATTAAAAGTAACGAATCGGTACAAGTATTCAAAAGTAACGAAAGTTTACATCACTAACATTGTTACTAACAATGTTCAGGACATAGAGGCAAAATCGTGAAACACCCAAATCGCACACTTTTCGACTTATTAAATCGTTATCCTCTATACTAAACTAAAGAAGGCACATTAATTGCTAAAATATTATTTTAAAATACATAAAAATGTATACTTTGGTTAAACAAATGTAACACCCGAAACGATGAAATGATACTAAGGCAATGAATCGATTTAACGACCAAACAATCTGGAAGACCTGGAGGCGCGCTAACAAAGACCAAATGCATATCTTCTAAAACCCAAAAATGACATTGCAACATTGCATTTTATTCGGTAAACAAGCGTCATCTGTAGCGGTCGTCACGATCATAATTAGGACGAGGCCGCTCCCGGCTTACACG